TTGAAGCGGATTGACGTTTTTGGATTATACAGGGATATAGCCTTATGGGTACCCCAACAAGGTCGGTCAAATTTTCATCCATACCTAGGCGTTAATAATGCATATTTTAATCAAATTATGATTTTTTTTTAAGTTTTCAGCATAGGCAGGTGTACTTAAAATACTTCTCTAAATACTCAATAGTTCGGATAGGAACTTAGAATTTTTATAATATTTGATATTAAGTGTCCTGCGGTGATATAAACTTCATTTTTTCAAATGAGAACCACCCTTTTTTACTGTAAATGATTAAGTATAATTAGGTACACAACATTTGTTGAAGATATTGATGTGTCTAAATCAAAATTTGAACGATAGTAATTTTAGGATTATTAAACTTTATATACCTAATAAGGACAATATTCCTTAGTAATGGTTTCACATATAAAATATAAATTAGATGTAAATATAAAATATGTAATATTCAGTCAAGTGTACCTACTTTTTATACTCGGAGAATTTAGGATTTTGACAGTCATACACCAGCACCAGCATCAGCACCAGCTAAAATTACTATAATTTTCAAACGATCATAGACTACTCAATTATTTTAGATTCTGAGTGGAATGATGAATGTATTGATTTTACAATGATGTGTGTTTTTTTATTTTTTTATTTTATATGTGTCTGTGTACACGATAAGTAGTCGAAATAATACTTCGATTTTCAATATCAGTATCTTGTTCAATTGGAAAGTGAATATCGTTGGTACATTGAGAAGGCCAAAATTTAAAATTCAAAGTAATTTCCAAAAGCGCCAAGAAAAACAAAAGAAAAATTAAGAAAAAACGGGAATTTTTATGCAAAATCGATTTTTCACAAAATCGAATTTGGTTTTCGGTATAACTTTAAAACAAATGACCGTAGATACATGACATTTTCACTGATAGTTTATATTTGCATTTTCTATATACGAAAACACTTTCAAAATATTTTGATTTATTTTGAACTGTTTAGAGAAATTTTCATTTTCCGTTTTTTTTCTAAAAATATTAATTTGTTGGTTAAAAAAACTTGGAAATTTAATAGAAGGCTCCTAGTAAATTGCTTCAAAGGCAGATGAAAAATATTAAAAATCCTTAGTCACAATTATTTTTTATAATCATTTAAAGTTCAAAAATTGACAAAATATGGAGAAATTACGAAAATTAGCAAATTATTTTGAGTTAAGAATTCGTAAAAATTTTTCTTTTTAAATCTAAAATTTTAAAATATAATGCAAGATCCCTTATAAGATTATCTATCTTTATCAAAAAAAAAAAATGTCTAAAGAAAGTCAAATTAAATTTTTATGAGCTTTTGAAATTCAAATTTTTACAACATTGGATATTCACTCGATTTTTCATGTGGCGATTTCTTTATTTTGTTGTAATTCAAAAACGAATAACAGTAGATACATGAAAATTTCACTGAATGTTCATATTAGCAGTTCCTATACACCAGTGGTTTTCAAACTGGGTGCCGCGGCACACTGGTGTGCTTCGAGAATTCACTGAGTGTGCCGCGGTCTTTCGGAAAGTTCAACTATTCGTCCAAGAATAAAATTATAAAAATTTGTTAGCCCGTCATTCGCCAAGCACTCATTTCTTGTATAATAATAATGTATATAAATGTACTTATATAATTATAATTCAAAATAATTTTGTTCATCTAATTATTTAGTGCAAAAAAAAAAGGTCTGTGTGCCTTGAAAACTTTTTGAGGAGCACGGTGGCCGCGTTCAATAAAAGTTTGAAAACCACTGCTATACACCATACAATTTTGAAACGTTTTTTGAGCTGTTTATGGGCATTGTCGGTTTTCACATTTTTTTTTTTTTTTTCAAATCAATAAAGTTTTATCTGTTGGGCAAAAAAGTGTAAAAATTTAATACAAGGCTCCTGAGATATTGTTACAATATCAGTTGAAAAATATTAAAAATACATAGGCACAATTTTTTTTTATAAGCATTTAAAGATCGAATTTTGACAAAATTTATCAAAATCTCGAAAATTATCAATCATTGTAATTAATAAATTATAAAATGTTCAGTTTTTGTAGCTAAGGATTACAATTTTAAAACAAAGGTTCTCATAAATAGTTCATACTGTAACCAAAAAATCTAAAAAATACATTAGCACAGTTTATTTTTATAGGTAGTCATTTTAAGTTCAAATTTGAACGAAATTACATAAAAAAAACCTAGAATAACTATTTTAGTTATTTCGTTGTGATTGTATAATATTATTCGCGGGTACTTGAAACTTCTAAAGTATACCTACTACTATATATCTATGATAGTATCAGGGTTTGTTGTTGATGTATAACGCGTTATAAGTACCTAATGAATATTGTGATATGATTAATTTGGAATTTATTATTGGTATCTATTATGGGTGAATTTTTAGATTCTGAGCGGAGCGATGAATTTATTGGTTTTACAATGATGTGTGTTTTTTTTTTTTTATATTTTTATATTTTTATATTTTTTTTTTTTTTTGTATCTGTCATCACGTTTTAGGACAGTAAAAGTGCTTCGATTTTCTTCAATAGTACCTTTTCTGATAGGAAAGTGAATCTAGTTGGTACTTTGGGGGGTCAAAAGTAAACATTTTCCAGTAGTTTTCACAAGCGCCGGGAAAAACAACATAAAAATTAAGGAAAAATGGGAATTTTTACGCAAAATCGATTTTCCTAATATACATGAAATTTTCACTGGTTGTTTATATTTGCATTTTCTATACACGATAACATTTTCAAAATATTTTGATTTATTTTGAACTGTTTAGGGACATTTTCATTTTCCATTTTTTTTTTAGTTTTTTTTCTAAAAATATCAATAAAATTTTATTTGATAGTTGCAAAAGCTTGAAAATTTAATAGAAGGCTCCTAATATATTGTTTCAAAGGCAGATGAAAAATATTAAAAATCCTTAGTCACAATTTTTTTTATAAGCATTTAAAGTTCAAAAATTGACAAAATATGGAAAAATCACGAAAATTAGCAAATTATTTTGAGTTAAGAATTCGTAAAAATTTTTCTTTTTAAATCTAAGATTTGAAAATGAAACACAAGATTCCTTATAAGATTATCTACCTTTATCAATAAAAAAATCTCTACCGGACAGTCAAATTAGAACAACTGTAGATACATGAAAATTTCACTGAATGTTTAAATTAGCATTTTCTATACTCCATACAATTTTGACTCTTTTTGAGCTGTTTATGGACATTTACAGCTTTCATTTTTTTTTAGTTTTTTTTTCTATAAATATCAATTAAGTTTTATATGTTTTGCCAAAAAGTGTAAAAATTTAATACAAGGCTCCTGATATATTGTTACAATAGCAGTTGAAAAATATTAAATATACATAGGCACAGTTTTTTTTTTATAAGCATTTAAAGATCAAATTTTGACAAAATTTATCAAAATCTCGAAAATTATCAATCATTGTAATTAATAAATTATAAAATATTCAGTTTTTATAGCTCAGGATTACAAATTCAACACAAAGGTTCTCATAAATAGTTCATACTATAACCAAAAAACACACTTATTTTTTACAGACATTTTAAATTCAAATTTGGACGAAATTACATATTAAAAAACCTAGAATAACTATTTTAGTTATTTTGTTGTGATTGAAAAATATTATTCGTGGGTACTTGAAACTTCTAAAGTGTACTATTATATATCTATGATAGTATCACGGTTTTTGTTGATGTATAGCGCGTTATAAGTATCTAATGGATATTGTGATATGATTAATTTGGAATTTATTATAGGTGCCTATATTATAGGTCAATTTTTTGTTTAATACCATTTAATGTATATATAATATGTCTTATACATAGACTGACATACCGTCACCGCTCAGAATCGTTTTTCTTATACAATGATATTATATCATTGAATTCAAATTTAATACCATCCATTATACAGTGACCCACTTGTAATCCACTGTACAGCAGAGCGACACCCACTTGCCCACCTTTTTTTTTTTTAATACTATAGATAACTAGATAAGTATATAATATGTCTTTTACCTAGACTGACATATCGTCTCCGCTCAGAATCGTTTTTCTTATACAATGTTATTATTTCATTGAATTCAAATGTAATACTATCCATGATACAGTGACCCACTTGTAACCTACTGTACAGCAGAGCACCTTTTTAAAGTTTAGTATCTCCGAAACTGCGTTAAAATTAAAAAAAAAGCAATATTATCATGCTTAAAATGTACAGAAAAAAAGAGTAGTTTTCCTTTGAATGAATAAGAAGTTGGTTTCGATACAGCACGTCATAGTCCTGTTACTTCTGTAGATAAATCGTGTATAAAGGTAATCATATATATACCATATATGTATGGTATAAAAAATACGAGATTGATGTATGGTCTTTTAAGATTTAAACAAATTATAGTTTTAATAAATTCATTATTAAAGTTAAAGAATATTACTCTGTATTAAAGTTAAAGAATCACTCTGTATACACCGATAATAATATGCCTATATATACATAAAAGATAAATTGGTGTATATAGGTTACCTAAGGGTACATAATATCATACACAGAAACAGCCTAAATGGCAAAATACATACAATTTATTGTAATAGGTATAATAAAATAATATATAATGTCACCTTGGCAACAAACCACCGCCAAATGCAGTCGCCCATTCCTTAGGTGAACCACAAAAGCCGCGACTTGCGACATTATAATAATATCGTTGTCGTCGTCGTCATCGCTATTCGTATATAGGTCGGTAGTGTATTAGGTACTATATAATATATGTGCTACTAGGTAGGTATTGTCATCGCGATTATACGCACGTGCGCAAGTCTCCAACAAATAATATTTAAAAAAAATACTAAATAAATAAGCATCGCACAGCTTATAAACTGTACACAATATTTTATTAAGTAAATAAATATAATAATATTACCGTGTATAATTAGATATATTTTCCGTTTGAGCGATGAACGAGGAGCAGCTGCAGCCGGTACGTGCTATTCGTTTGAGTAAAATATTATTATTAATGTACTACGATTTATTGGTGAAGCTAAAAATATCGTTGGCATAAGCCTCTTTGTCGTAGGTTAAGTGACGATAATAAACATAAAAAGAATCAAATATAAAATAAAAATTATATGATTCGAAATAATGATTTTTTTCATGCCCATAGTAGGTATTATAATAGGTACCTGTTTGTTAGATTGTATAGGTAGGTACTATAAAGAAAGTCGTTTATTAGATATTTCGGGTAAGTAGGTATCTCGTACCTAGTATTATTAAAAAAAAAAAATGCATGAAAACTGTAGGTATATAGGTAAAATTAAATGTACTTTGAAATTTTCTAATATTATTAGGTATTTGTATAACCGTAGATATATACCGTAGCTACACCTATGCATAATATGTTATAGGTAGGTACTTATACCTATACTTACTCATAAGTCATACATACTCATACCCACACACTAGTCATGCATGTATTATTATTATAAAATTAAATGACATAGGTATGCAAGTATGTACCTATATTTATAATAAGTAACTTATTAGATACGCGTATAGGTACCTTCTGATAGGTAATAGTTGGACGATTATCATTATAAAATAAGATTTATTGCCAGAAAGTTTAAAAGTTTAGTTATTGTAAAAAAATATTAATAAACGACAATCTTATAGATCAAAATGTTATATCATAACCTACCTTACTCTCAATGTTTAATTTTGTTTATTAAGTACCTACTTGTTGCCAATTATTCTTAGATACCAAATAATCGTCAGGGCAGGCGTTATATGGTTTTGACGTGAGGTGAGATCAAGTATTTGCTGACTGAAATATAGGTAATTTATGCCGACTGTAAAAATCTCGACCCATCATTTTTTAAAACAAACCATGTAAAGTAGGTGGCTGTAGTCAATTTGCACCAAAATTGACCCAAAATATATAAAACATGTGTAATTTGCACCATTTTTTTTAAATGCGTTTGTAATTTGCACCAAAATAAGGGTAAGTAATTTGCACCACCCTCAGGTAGTAAGAAATAGGAATTGTAATTTGCACCAAAATTAAAATCGATTATTTTTTCGATAGTATACAAAAAAATTTGGTCGATAGTACCAACTTACAAGTTTCTATATCCTAATATAACTTAAGCTTAGTTTTTATCTATAAAATAGCTGGTCAAATTTTCACCTGTAATAAACAATTTTGCTGAACATTTTCTGTGTACAACGCCAACGAATTATATTTGTAGTTTTTGTTTTATACGCAAAATAAAAAGTATGGTCATCGTCTTCTAAAATATCTTCCCCGCGATTACTTTTATTTAACTTAACTTCCATATTTCAAGAAAAAAATTAAATATTGCAATAAAAAAATGTTACGTTAAATTACGTATTACGACGAAACAGAAATACTAAACGTATACCTAGCTTAGTAGGTATTTGATCAAAATAATAAACTGATATACATTATATAAATATATATATAACGCGATATAACGCGATTACGACCGACAATTGGACGTAAGACGTCAAAATATTATCAGATAAGGTGAAAAATCCCGAAAAATTATTATTGTCATTCGTGTTCATCTAGTCTTGACGTCGCGTCAACGAGAATATCGAGTAATAACACTATTGATACTAATGATACTATCGAAAAAATAATGAATTTTAATTTTGGTGCAAATTACAATTTCTATTTCTTACTACCTGAGGGTGGTGCAAAATTACATAGGTACCGTTATTTTGGTGCAAATTACAAACACTACTTTCGACTACCTTTAGTGGTGCAAATTACATATCTTTAATTTGGTGCAAATTACAAACTCCCAAGTAGGTACCTATAAAAATTTCCGGTTTTTCTGTATAATAGGTAACTAAGGTGCGCTAAAATAATAAAAAATTTTAAATATTATACTAAAAAACATAATAAAAAAAAATTGAAAAAAATCGAACTAAAACATTTTGAATAGTTCTATGCATATTGTCTGTTAAACTACTATTTTGTTATTTGTATGTTATACAGCCGCTAGTCGTACAGGTACAGGATTATCTGGATTATTTAACCTTTAAAAATTGTGTATTATTAAATAAGTATATGATAAGGGTACCTATATAGGAACCAAAATCTAAAATAAAACTTTGGCATCTGCATGTTACACTTATGGAAGAACCTAGGCAAACCACCGCAGTGTAAAAATTTATCAGGAACATACTATATTAATATGTGCTTGCCAGTGGTTGTTTTTAATTGTTGTGCTTATATTTGTGCACTAGAAATACGTAATCTGAAATAATAAGTATTAAAATAAGTGAAAATAGAAAAAAATATTCGTTAATTTAATTTAGACTTAAAAATATTATTTGGCAGAAAGATAATATCGAACAAGCCTTACCCACTTTGAGGACAATTTGTGTACTATATGACCTACCGGACCACGTGATGACCTACCGTATTGGCATTTTTAGTCAAAGTAAAAACCATACAATTATATTATTTTATTATTATCAATTAATTAGTAATAAAAATATAAAAGAATACAGGATTAGATTTAATAATGTCAAAATCAGTTAAACAAAATATCAGTAAAATATAAAAATGTATGAATATTGAATATTAAAATATATAAATATTATAAGCCTACAGTAATGTCAAAATTATTCAAAACATTTAATTATATAATCTCACTATGAAAAATGCTGAGCAATATCACTTACAAATTCAAAAAATGTATCTTACTGATTAATAGATTGGTACCCGTATATAATATAATTAATAATCGTCTCGGTAGGTCACATACTAAACGAAAACCCTTTCGGTCTAGTGCTCAGTAAATTTCTCATGTTGCTGGATATTTTTAGGTCAAAAATCGATGCTTGTCACTGGAGTATGTACTTTAATGATCAATATTTTATACACTCACCTGTTTTACTGCAATAAATAATTAAGATAAACTTTGTTTTCGATTTCTGGTATTAAATTATTCATAGGTTTAACAGTTAAAAATCCCTTTTTGACAAAAATATATAGGTCATAGATTTGAACAAAATTTGTTCGGTCGCCCATTGGTGCAATTTAAAATGTATCTTAGGGAGGGGACGGAACAAGTGTTTGCCAAACGGAACGGTATGGGAGAGTTAGAGGAGGACTACTGGGGGGAGGGGTTGCACGATAGCTTATCTTTAATGGATTTAACAATTTTTTACATTTTACAAGATTTTTATGTCGCATTTGATTGATACGCCCTTATCATATTATACTCAGATAAGGTGAGGTGAATAGCTTGTGTGAACAACCACTCTGTATAGCATACCTAAATTTAAAAAATGAATTTAAATACGCAAGAAATACCACCACTAACCATGATGATGGATGCGATTGGGCTACTGGATTTCTATCGTATTTATGTATTTTAAGTTGTTAGCCCCTTTAATAATTTTACCCAATTTCCACCGACATCTTTTTGCCCCTAATATTGCCTATATTAAATCCCTTAAAATTCAATCTTTCCCATACATTCTAGTTTAAATGTATTATTCAATAAGTCTGTAAAAAAGTACCAAAAATGAGTAGCTAGAATTTGATTTAAATGCTGAGGAGATTTGTTAAAAAATTGTTAGAAAAGTGTTATTTTCTACAATATTTTAAAGCATATAAAATCGATTGGGTCTTTTAATATTTGTAAATCACAATATTAGAAAAAGGTATGATTCAATTATTATTATTTCACAAATAATTGATAAGCATATTGTCTTATAGTATATTTTTTTTTGCAATTTATATAAATTTTTGCAAGCTTTATTATTGACTAAGATTAACGAATTATTCCTCTAGACCCTATAAAATAATAATCATTAATTTTCAGATTATTACTGTCGTAATAGGGAAAAGCTGTTTTGGAATATTTCTTCTTTTATCAGTGATACATTTCAAATATCTATAAGATTCTACCTACTTTTGTTTTTCAAATAACAAATATTAGAATGTGCAAATTAATAACATAAATATAGTTGAGACTGGAAAAAAAATTAGACATTTATCGATTGTGAAAATAAACTCAATTTCTGCCCAAAGATTGCAAGCATCAGATATGCCAATGTGTACCTCCTTATCTTATACATATATACATATTTAAATTATAAACACAATATTGCAGACGAAAAGACACCACACAGAATTGCACAGGAAACACACAGTGGCCAGTGAACACCGATGTGTGCAATGGGTTCCCCAGGTGGACGTGGTCAACGATAGTCTGGACACAGCCTTACTGTCTGTTTATAGTCATTCAGGGCTGACGTTCCCTAGGACCAACGAAGTGTGCATGCAAAAAGAAACCTTTATACTGTGTTTGAAGTAAGAAAATTACCATAAAATATATTATATTATATCATGTAAATATGTAACAATAATCCAGAGAGCGCATTTTAACTTTAGGCATACAAAGTAAGAAAAATGATACCGGAAAAATTATTTTTTAATGAAATATTTTAAAAATTACTAAATTAACTGTTTTATTCAACCGCTATTTGTTGATATATGAATGCTGTGATTATAAGGCAATATTAAAAATGTCTCGAATACCCCCACAAAAAAAAACCGTTATAAAAATGATTAAATAAAAAAGTTGCGTGTTGCAATTAAATACCTATATTAATTTACATAACACGCTGCTAAAATTATATGGTTTCAGGAACGGTATATTATACAATATGGTATGTTTAAGATAAATACATAAATAATTCAGAAATTTACAATAATAGAATAGCACATATTTTACAAACCAGAGACGAGCAAAATGTTAACAGGTGTGGATAAAATAACTTTTATATTTACCTATTCATTATTCAACTAATACATTAAATTATAATTTTATATGTACCTACTAATATGTTCAAAATTCTGATGAAAGTTTAATTAATACATTATAAAATATTTAACTGTAGTATCTTTTCGGTCAATACTAAATATGGAAACAAGTAAAACCCTAACATAACACATTAAACAAATTATAGAAAAAAAGAAAACAATGTACCTACTTCGTGCATGACTAAAAGTGATCTTTTAAGTCAGTTTTATCAATGTTGAAAGTTTCCAAAATGAATGATTATATTATACAACTGATAAATACATTTTGGGTTGAAGGAAACAATTGAATAATATTCGATCAGATCATAAAGTGGAAAAGCTGTTCAGAAATCATCCACTGAAAATGGGTGGACTGATCGGTGAACGAAAAGATATCAATAGTATTAAACTTGGATTAGTTGGCAGTCATATTTCACAAACTAACCATGGATATTCAAGAAAAGAAGATGGTACTTTTTACAATTATTAAAATACAATAAGGTTAGTGTAATACTAAAAACGATAATATCACAGAATATCTAATAACCTAAATAAATTGACATTTTCAAATAAGTATTAGAAAGGATCTTTTCAACTTATTCATTGTTGACCAAAATTATACTAAGAAATAACTAACACTGTTAATATATATATATATAATTCTATATCTGAAATTTAGTATCAATTACATAATAATATGACATTTATAGTTTAAAATAATTAGTAATACATTAAATTTGGAGATTACAAACATATATTTAAGTATACTCCAATACATATAATCATTTTTTTTTTTAAATAAATACAATATACAATTTGTTACTGAAAACAATTTAATAAGTATATTGTTAATATTATTATATAATTCAATTTTTCATTGGTTTTATCTATGGCGTTAAAATATAATCATAATATTATAAATATTCATATATGTAATTTCTAAATAAAATAGATAAAAATAAATATTAAACACAATGTCTGTATTGACTGTATTTATATAAAATAGATATTGAATAATTAATTTAGTAGCTATAGTGGCAGAGCTTAGTAAATACAATATTACTCTGCAATAAAAATAAACTTACACATTGTAAAATATCAATCATCCAGTCATAAGGACGGCAAGAGAAGTTTAGGATGATAAAATATTCAATAAATAATTTGATTTTGACTAAACTGTTTTTAAATATATTATCTGATGTAACATAAAAAAAAATAATAATTAAAACAGATGAGGTAGGTAACATTATAAACATATTGGATGATTGATATTACATATTTTTAAGTATGAAAAAGGAAAAATATTTTTTATTATACAATAAAATTTGATTAAATTGTTTATGAATCCAGTATTTAAAATTTCATCTGGTTATTATACTGAAGATTACTAATCTTTAGTACAAAAAACTTGTACATACATGCTATGATTGAATTTTCAGTATTTGTATAATGCATATTTTATTAAGTATAACACAAAACAATAATAAAAATCCAACAATTGTATCAATGTATGCACAGTGAATCATTAACTATAACTGGAGAGTAGAAAAAAAAGGAACATGTAGCAGGTACTAAGCATTTAGTGTTTGTTTTATATAACTAGATAGGTATTATCTAGGTATTCTCATATTAAATTAATTTTTAAAATATTATGATGGAATAAAATTATTTCTTTAAACATATGCATAAAATTTAAGTTAAACAACAACACTTTTGATAATAAATACAGTTTAAATCTATTATAATTACATCAGTTAGCTCAATTGAAATCAGTTTGTACATATTATATCCATACATGATATTGGTTAGTAAAACTTGACAATTAAGCTACCATTTATAACATTAATATTATCAATTCATTATAAATGGCTTTTACTGTAGATGTTTTCAATACTAAACTATATAATTGGCCTGACTTTAATTACTCAACCAGGATTGTCAGTGAATACAATGATAAAAATAAACAGCATTTTAAAACTTAAATGAGTAACACTTATTATAATCACCTAAAATAATTGATTTTAAAACTTATAAATATATATTATTATAAACATATTGTATTTTATAAATTTGAAATACTAATTTTGACATTTATACGCTAGACAAGATAATAATAACATTTTCATCACGAATTAAGAATAATTATTTAATTTTACTTTCCTTGAGATTTTAAATATTAAATCGCAGTTAATACCAAAATAGCATAAAATTTAAATTATAGTTATAAGTATATAGTTTATTCCATGAGAGAATAATCAGTCCGCTGAGCGATTCTCGTCAGGGCCGTGCATCCCTCACCAACTTCCCTGTGTTAACGTGATCATGTGGTTCTCGATACACCAATTGAATCATTCATGATCAAAAAGTGATTATTCTCTCATGGAATAGACTATATTTTTAACCTACATATTCTTCAAAAACTCGCTTTATTGTTGATATACATGAAATTTTACACTGTTACACATAACTTTAACAATAATAAATTAATATTACTATATAGTTTAAGGTATTTAAGGTTTCTTAGCACATTCAAATTACAAACGGATAAATTTTGATCATTAAAATATAATACTTGACGTATGAATTATTGTTCAAAATAAAATTTAGAATTATTTAGTTCAATATTTTTACTTGTGTTTATAATAATATTTAATTATACATAAAATATTACTCATCAGGCAATGATTATATGAAAAATGAAATAAAAACGTGGTATTCATTTATTCTAAATTCGTGAGACGTATAAATATTAAATAAATATTATTTTAAATGGTAAAAAAAAATTTATCAAGTCTATTTGAATTCAATTTATGACTAAAAATACTAAAAATATTTTCATGAAGGCAAACAATTTAAACCGTATATAGTATAATTTCTAAAACCTTTAAACTAAATTATATTTTTCACATATATCTGTATAAATAGTAACCTCATATACAACTGTAATTATGTAATAATATTTGATACAAATATCTATAGATTAGAATTACTTGTAAAACTGATATAAACTAATATACAGATAAAGCAATTTGTAACATAACACCAATAAATTAGTAACTATAATATAATTATATTGTCATCAAAACAATCATTAAATGACAAGTAAATTCTAGAACTTTAAATACTATAATGATAAAATTTTTATTCTACTTAGCATGATAAACATTATTTCAGTAATATTCATTTTTATATTTCTTTCAAAAATTGAGAATGAAACTCATATTTAAGAATATTTTAAGTGAGCGTACTATAGGAGAAAAAAATAAAACTTAAAATCATTATTTTAAAATAGGTTTTAAATATTTGTGGTTTTAATATCCATATCATTTAGACCAATTTTTTTCTAACTATTTAATCACTATATTTATAAATTAATTAATTAAGATTTAATGGCATTTTTAAAAAAAGCAATATTGAATTGCTTAGTTTAGACTTAATAGTTTCTAAAATAATTGGGAATTGTAGCATGAAGAGCTATTTAAGTATTTTAAATGTAAAACGTTATGCCTAGTGTTTTATAAAATCTAAAACATTTATTTTGGGTTATGGCATAGGAAATATATATATTATAAGCATTATAATTGTTACCTACACAAATTGTATTATATATATATATATATATATAATTGTTTTTTTTAATGACTAAGATTTACACTCAAAATAAAGGTAAGTATATTAATTTCATACATATTTTGAACTATTTTTTTTTATGAATGTCATTTAATTTATAGAGGAGGTTATACAGAAATTTTAAAGGACAATATTTTCAAAATATTTTTATTCAGATCACATTCAGAGCTAAGCATATTAATTTAAGATAGGATAATATAATCTATATGCCATAGCTCTTATTAGATTAAGTTGGTTACTGTGACTATTTTTAAATATGATTACTTAATATAAATACTATGTACTTATAAATATTACATTTTAAGTAATATTTTGCAAATAAAAATAAATAAATGTCACTATATACTAATTAATAAGTACATAGCATTAATTAAGTTATAAAAAAGGAATGTCTAAATCCATAATATTAACAAGAATTAAATCAAATAGGAATATTAAATATTTGTTAATTTATAAGTCTATTATTTATAATATTGTTATATTTAATTAAATCATAATATAGAAAAATCATTTATGTAAGACTCATTATAAAATCTATGATTATACCATTCAAACTTTTCTAGTAGAAAGTGTATAGATAGAAATTAATAATATATTTGAATTGAAGATCAGATCTTTAACTTAAAAATAAACATTAATTATTAAGTGTTCTTTTAAACAATTTTTCCAATAAATTAATTTCAAAATTTTAAATACAAATAAAGTAAATGATTTTAAACATACTTAATCTACACTGTATGTATAGATTACGTACCTTGGTTCTCAACCGGTGTGTGGTATGTATAGTACTGTTTGAGTGTTATTAGTGAAAAAAAGGTTGAGAACTTACAACTTTATCATTAAGATATCAAATATTTGATTTTATTGTAATTAAAATAAATATATATATATATATTTTTTTTTTTTTATAGACTTTCAAGGAACTCATATACTAATCAACTTATTATAAATTATGTAAATAATAGCTTAGACAAAAAAAAAAAAGGAATTTAAGAAATTTTAATTATATTATGTTTAGCTGTTCGGAATATTTTTAATACTTGAATAACATTTTGGAAATACGCTATTTAAAATTCAGTCTTTTCTTTGTCCGAAATATTATAAATATATTTGAATGCATATAGTTTAATTTAAATTTTTAATTTAGGTCATTATATGGGTTAAAACAAATTTTTAAATACCACTTATAATAACTATTATAACTTCTTATCTTAAATTATTATTATTTTTTTTTTTTGATTAAAATTCTAACTTATACTTTTAATATTAATTTAATATTTAAGATACTATATGTATATATATATATATATGTTAGTTATATAATGCTCTAAGTTCAACTTTGTATTTTATGCAAACCTGTATCACCATAGCTGAAATTAAAATATCATTGTGAAACTTAAGTTAATCTGATATTTGAGAATAACTATTATTGAAGTATCTATTTCCAAATGTAACTTGAACGGGTAATTATGCATTATCTGTGGATTTCTCAAACTGTTTCCGAGTGTCAGGCATTATGTAATCATGAAGAACTATTACATTGTATTAAATTTGACGATATAACACAATTTTTGGATGAATTATTAATTCTCAATCTGGAAAAGGGAAGCAAAATAGTCGCTATAGTTTAATATTTCATGGCTTATAAGTGTACCTGAAGGGGTGCACTGAATGTTAGTTAGTGTTAGTACTAGTATTAGTATTACTACAAGCATTATTTGAAGCTTTTTTTCGTACTTGTCTTTTGCGATCAGCATAAATTAAACACTTCATTTGTGCCTTATTTTCAGCAGCGTTTAAGCTATCCTCACTATCATCGTGACTATTATCCGGAAACATACTTGTATCAAAATCACTGTCTTGATCTTCTTCAGACTCCCAATGTTGCCACTGCCTGTAATTCAAATAATAATAATATTTGATGTTAGTTAAAAATAAAATTATAAATAAAATTATTGACGCATAGGTTAGATTTTAAATATTCGTTAGTAGGCATATTTAAATTTATTACAATATTCACGCGATTTCTGCAATTTTTTAATTTAATATTTGAATTAAATATCATGATGAGCTGTAATTGGTTATCTCATAATGAATAATTAATAATCTATAATTATTGTGAAATAAAAACACATGATGATTTAAAAATAATATTAAAGAACTATAAACTGAAAAAATAAGCTATACTTTAAAGCTTAAATGAATTATTTCTAATAACTAAATAAAATAAATAAACTAGAGGTAATAATTTATATTATCTTACTTCATTTCTGGACGCATTGAAACTTGCTTCCTTTCGAATTGATCATGCCTATCACTTTTTTTCCAGAAATAATAAAAATGAACCAACTCTGCTACTGATCTGGTTTTAACCTTAAAGTATACATAATAATTAATTTGTAATGTTAATATAATTGTACGCTATTATTTAATATTATAAAATATCTTTAAGAGGACGCCACACTCGCATGTGTTGTCTCCGTCTTACAAATATACAACATAGCAAAAACTGTTTTGCAAGGGACAACTGTTCTCACACCATATTTGTTGCAGAACTACCAAATTTTCACAACACGTAAAGAAAAACGTTATCTGTGTAACAGTGTGCCCATATTTAGATAACGTAAATACAATGTAAGTTATTTGCTTCTAAACATTTTGTTTTTTCATTTGCTTATAAAAAATAATTGGTTGATGCTGTGTTGTAAAAATTTGGTAGTTCTACAACAAATATGGTGGGAGAATAGTTGTCCCGCGCAAAACAGTTTTTGCTATGTTGTACATTTGTAAGATGGAGACAACACAAGCGGGTGTTACTCAGTAACACTCTTAAGTATTATACACATACTTAAAGGTGTTACTCCGTCACATTCTCAAGTATTATACACATACTTATCATATTATAAAATATGGTTACTAAGCAAATACATTTTGAACAGTGGCGAAGCGTCATAGGAGACAAAGAGATAACAACTCCCCATACAAAAATTAGAACATGGGACAAATAAACAATTATTATTTTGTTTTATAAAATATTTAAAAATGTGAATTTTATTTTATATTATAAAATATATGATGTATGTTTCAGTATTTATTAAAATCGGTTTTTCGTTGTACAGTAGTTATAGAATTCTTAAAATATATTAGAAGCGTGCGATACGGGTCATCCCAAATATGGTATTATACTATTATATCTAAATCTAATAGACATTGCTATGCAACGTCTCGCAAATATGGGCACGCGTATACAAGAGGAATGCTAATCATGTGAGTGGGGTTTACTATGTAAGCTATGAGACACGTCTCGCCGTTCGTAATTACCTCAGTCAGTCATATTACACGCTATCATAGGTATGTCGTACGTGTTTCTTAATACTTATTGTTTTATATTGTAATTTGTCCTCATGGGCTCATGATTAAATTAATGCCATTTATAACGATGGAATTATTAACTACCTACTCATACGAAAAAAAATGTGTACATTTGGATTTTTATCATATTAAATTATCATTTTAAGGAAGTTGTAACGTTTTTAATTTTTTTAATATAATATTTCAGTTCGTTTTTAGTTTTTGAACATTTATTTCTTACCATATAGATAAAATAAAAACGGAGGGGGGAATTTTGGCATATAAGTGCCATTTTTTTTTGCAGGTCTCCCTAACCAAAAACCTCACTACTGATTTATAATAATAATCATTCAAAATTAGTAAATCAGTAAAAACCTGTTTGATGGTCTTAGTTTGGAGATTACATTATTGAAATAAATACAATTTTTAAATTGCAAAATACCTCTTTTTGTATGGCATGAAAATTCTTTCCGCTTATCAGTAATCCCATCTCAAACTTCAATGTTTCATCTTCTGACCAGACACTTAGTGATTTCTCCAAAGGTACTACATTTAATGACATTCTTCTAAGAGCTTCGGCTACATCATGACCACATTGAACTAACAAGTAAAGTGCCTGCCAATAAAAACATCAATTAGCTTATAATGAAAATATAAATATTATGAGTTATTTAGTTATTACGAAGTCTGAATTTGTATGCACTAAATATTAAAAGCTTAAAATAATATGCACTTATATATTGAACACCTTAAAATATGTGCACAAAAATATAATAGCTGTTATGACCTTTTAAAAAATATTGTATCCAGCTGTTTAATTGATATTCAATTAAGTAATCTTAATTATATTAACGTAAATTAAACAATAGTAAATTATCATATTTTTGTGTGTATCAGTCTTTTTTAGAAAAAATATTTTTAAAAAAAAACTCGTTTATTACTAACAAAAACAAAATATTAAAATATTGAGTTATTACACTTTTTAATTCAACAAAAAAGTATAACAATAATAAAGAAGCAATAAAATAAAATAACTTATATAAAAACTATATTATTAATATAAATGATACTAAAAAATAATGTCCATCATATATAAATGATGAATTTGTATATTTATCATTTGTTTTCAAATATTTAATTTAACGAATATAAACACAATGCATGAAGATAAAAATTACGTTTCTACAATATATCCTTCAAATATAATAAATTATATAATTATTTATGCATTTAAAGAAAAATTTCAGTTTTTAGAAAAACATAAATATTATATGTGAACATTACATACGACCATTACATTATTATTTTGTTCATAGGTACATGCAGCAAGAAGTTTCACTTCGAAACTATGAAAATGCATACAAAAGTAAAGTTGGTAATTAAATTTTCACACGCAAATGTATTACATACTAAAGGTTTTATTTATTTTTTATTAAGAAATGCATAATCTGTACTATTAAGCACAATAAGTGTATGTGGTGACAGAACAAAAATACTATGAAAATAGGAATAAGAAACCACCCATTAGTGCCGTTGTCAGAGTGAACAATATGATGTCTTGCCAATAATTATCACATTCAGAAATTAATTTTGAAGCTTACAGTGAATTCTTATTGCAATTTTATTTATTTTTTGGTAAAGTGAAACTTATGCATAAGTGCCATAACATATATTTTGTATTCAAAAATGTGTCACCAATCTCAAAAAATATAATTGCAGAACTGTAGATCAGTGATATCATGTTGTATGATAATAATAATGATTTATTGATACAAAATAAAACTAATAATCAGCCATCAAATAACGGAATATTTTCTATGATATACTTAAAATAATTACTTTTTCATTATCCCGAATACCAACAACTTTAGATTTTGGCTTTAATGCCTTTGTAATTTGCTGGATTTTTGTCAAATAATCTTCAATTAAATCTTCCCCCAATACATTTGGATCCCATAACAGTTCATCATTATTTTCATAAGGCATTACATCACCATATGTTGATAGCCCATCTGTTACTAGAGCTTGAAAATTTACTCCAACATTAACGCTCTAAAAATACAACATTCATTATAAAATACATAAAATTATTAATAAAAACATTTTCAACTTTATCTTACCTTCCAGTGAAGTTCCCAATGAGGCCTATAGTCTTCATCTTCATCTTCACTTTGTACTTGATCTGAAAAAAAAAATAAGTTAAATTATAACCATCTTAAACAAGTGAGACTAATATTTACAAGACAAAAACAGTGCATTGGTAATTAAATGTAATTCAATCATTATTCGGTTTTAAACATGATTAGATTCTACAGCAGTAAAACACTTATAACATACTATTAAGCATTTCATTATTTTTAACTACAATCCTTATACATACATAGTACATTTATAATATTTAATAAGTTTTGTAAAATGAATTATAAATAATTAAATTCAATAATTTATAATCAGTTAGATAGCAGTTTAATATATACACTTTTCTCCTAAATTAATAAGTAACTAAGGGCCAGTTGTATCGTCTACGATTAAACTATGATTAAGCTTAATCAGCTGATAACAGATATTTAAACGGGCAAATACGGCCGATTAAACTCTGATTAACTTTAATCATAGACGGTAAAACTGGCCCTTAGAATCTAAACTATTCATAATTTAACTCACCAAGTTCTGCCATATATAAGTCTAATAATTTAGATGCTTCATCACATTCTTTACCATCCTTAACACTTTCATTTTCCTAAAACAAACAAAACAATCTGGTAACACAAGGTTTTGGTTTTCAAATTGTCAAGAAAATATCATATGATATTTACTCAATTTTGGAAACATGAAGTATAGATTATAATATATAGATTGTATTTATTAAAAAACAAAAATTGAATTTTATAAAAAAAATACTTTAAATTATTATTATTAAGATTGTTACCGAAATATAATTTTTTTTCTGAATAATTATGATGTGAATGGCTTAGCTATATTTGTACACCAAGAAAATATTCATACATAATATGACTGGGGATTTACTTTTTGCCCACTTATATTCTCTCGGCAGACAAAGGATATAGAGTACAAATAAAAATGGATATACATTTTTATTGAGACTATAATAAATTAATAGAATATAAAAATAGTGTCTGTCATATAATATGGTTTTATTAACATTTAATACTTTTATTAAAACTAAATTACCTTTGATGTTTCTTCTGACATTTTATTTGATGAATCGCCCGTGTTTTCTTCTACTAATCTTCGCCTATCAGTTGTTTTTAATTTTTTCTCTAAAAATAAAATTGTTTAATTGTAAATAATATTTTTAAATTATTAAAATGTATTTAAAGAAACACATTTTTATTATTATTAGTACCCGGAATTATAAGAATCTTTATATTTCTATTTATTAGTTTAAAAAGTAGCTAAGTATGACATACATTTCAATCGTAGCCTAACGAGTTAGTGTGAATTTTTGATTTGGCATATTTGTAACATTTTTAATTCATATGCATATTTTAGCATTTTGAAAAAATTTAATGTCTATTAATTGAAGAAAAAAATATTATTGCATTTGTACTATTACCTAACTTAGGATATAGTCACATTCCAATTAAATGTTTTAATTAATTTTTATCCATATATTGACTGTTCATTGTTGACCTTTTGGCTAATTAATTAACTCAATTAATATAATAAGATAAAGTAGTCTGTAGGGTATATTTACCACAGTAAACAAATTACATATTTCATACATTATTAATGCATATAATTCCAGGTCCTAATTATTGTGAACGAATAAAGGTAAAATTATATTTTATCAGTACTTAAGAGTACTTATTAGATTTTAGTTCATTCTAATACTTTCTTCAAAATAAAATATAACAAATTCTATGTTATTGAAAAGTATACCAGCCAAATTATTGGTAGGTATGGATTATCAAACTACATTATTTAATATTTTGGTCTTACCTGCGACACCATCCGATGAAGTTGATAGCTTTTTCTAACATAAAATAATAATTATTATACAAAAAAAAAATTATACATTTTATCAAAAATTACGATTTTACCTTTCTTTTTTTATCTTTACTTTTCTTTGACGAGCTCTTCTTCTTCTTCTTCTTCTTTTTTTTTGTACTGGTTTCCGGGGGAGCAGTTTTTGAATATCCATACATAACCATAAGTTCATGAATCGGCATGCTACTTTCCTATAAAAAAAAAAAGATAAATAATAATTATGTAACAAATATTATAATATAATACAATTATATTATGTTATAGAATTATACTATAAGTTTTTTACTTCTTCTAAGAATCTTATTTCTCTTAAAGGATCCTCCAATTCTGGAAGTGCTTCTTCTTCTTCCATCGTTGTTTCATCATCAGCTTCATCTACTTGTTCATAATCTTTGTCTTTACTTAAATCATCAACAGGTAGTGGCTCATCATCTTCTATTATATCAATATTACCATCTACAAAAAATATAGGTATGAACATGCAGTGTTTAAATTAAATGTATTATTTATAACTTAATTAATTACTTATTGGTTGAGATTCTTCAAGTTTAGCCACAACCTATAAAATGGAACATTTATTAATATGGATATTAAGTTATTGTGTACGATCTACAATAATTAAATAATTAAACTAAATGCTTGTTAATGATTCACATTACCCAACTAAAGTAATATACTATAATAAAAAATGTTTTTCTATAATGATATTTATAAGGATATTATTCTTATATAGATAATTGAAGCTTGTTCAATAATTAAAAAAATCTTTTAGTTCATGTCAATTGTTAGTTTAAAACTTTTGTATATATTGAATTATTCTATTTTGAATGTTATTAAGGTTAAAAAAAACAAGTACTCTTTTGTCATATTAATAAACAATGCAAGAACATATTATTACGAATATAATATCAATAAAATTATCATAATTATAGGAAACCTATACATATTACATGCATTTAATACATTTATGGAAAATATCTAACATAAGTTGTATACCTACTTGATACTTAAGTATAATAAAAAAATTATTGGAGTGAAAAAACAAACACTAGACACCGGGGTTTTATTCACTCGTATTGCTGTGACCATCAGGCATCAACCGAAACGATCACACAGAGACCTGTTGAAAATCACAACCCACACCAGCATTGATGGGTGAAGTAGAGTGTAGTATCTATTCCCACCAAAAACATATCGACCGGAGAACCAGATCCGACTCGGCGCACACAGATAGGTACCTACATCATGTTTCTATATTTTCTTCTACTTCTTATTTTAACCTCGTCCTCGCAACCGTCGTGTCTTCTAACCACCGTACACACTCTTACCTACAGGGGTGATGGTAATTGGCGAGAGTGTACCATTCCCTCACCTCCGGGATTGGAGATGGCAAACGATTAAACGACCGTAACTGAACAATTGCAGAACGCTGCCCACCCACCCCATCATCGCAGCCCTGGTTGTGGTATATTATTAATTGTTTACAATAATATTTATTGTTTACCTCCTCGTCGTCGGCCATGGCGGTTCGGGCAGATGTGCAAGCCGTTGGATCAGGATTGCGTCAGCCGCGGTGGTATCCCCGTTCGAGGGCGTAAACAAACAAACAAACGGCGGCCAACTAACAACCGTGGTCGCGGGACGTCATCGCGGCGGCGGCGGCAGCGACTTCTGCTTGGCGCTTGTGCAGTGCGTAATGGTTACCAATAAAATGAGCGGCGTCGGTCGTCGAGTGTCTGACAATGTCGACTGGCTAGTGGCGGCTGGCGCGCTGTCGTCCGGGCGAGCGAATATCGTACTGCGGAGTAGTTAGTTTGCTTGTTTGTCGTCGTCGTCGAATGGCGGTCAAAACGCTAGGGTGATAACGCGGCGGCGGCGGCGGCGGTAGACGAGTGGGTGATAACGTCATCCGGTCGTCAGCGTCCTTGTTGTTGATGTTGTTGTTGTTGTCGCCATCGTCGTTGTCGTATACTCGTATGCGTTTTCCCCTCCACCGCGGAGAAATTATTGTTATCGAACACCCGCCGCATTGACGGCTGGTTGCGTCGGGAACAGCCGATCCTTCGCCGCCGGTGGTTCCCAAAATCTCGGCCAACGACCGTGAACAGTAATATTGTATTATGATAATAATAATAATAATATAAACAAGATATTACTTAATATTATATTCAGCTGTAGTACTGTTGTAGTAGTGCACTAGTGCTGTTGATCTCTTAAGTATATTATAATATTATTTTAACCTTCGGCCATATAAACTAATTAGTTTAATACTTAAATAGTTTATATGATGATGGTCGACGATTCTTACAATCCGCGCCGCTGATAAAAATCCCAACCAATAATACATGTCATTCTAAATGTCTACTAAATATTAACACTTACTATGTACCTACTAGTAAGTTTTGTTGGGAATAAAAATATATTCTTTTTAGAACGACTCCAATGCTTATTTTGGAGAAAATTCACTCGTATAAAGTTAATAATGTATAAGATGAATAATCGTGGAATAAAAATCACCGGGTAAAAAATCTGGTGAAACGAAATCCCTGGCACTAGCAAAAATATTACCCGGACTACAATATATTTTATAATATTATACCTTTCCAGTAGCTAGGCTTTTCAATGAAAGTGATTATTAATATAAGAAAATATTTTTAGAACGTTGCGAATAACTATTATACAACATTATTAATATTAAATTACAAATATTATAGAGGAACCTATTTAATATTAATATTGTAGAAGTTCGAAAATGATTGAAAATCAAGTCTTAAATACTTAATCATTATTTAATGGAAATTAAAAATCATACTCAAATTAATGTTTAAAATAAATAACTACTTATTAAACAACATTTAATTTACCTTAACAAAAATTATCAATAATAGTTCGTTTTGTATTATTCGTATGGTAAAGTATTGTGTAAATGTATGTAAAAATTAAATCGAGTTTTGTTATATTTTATAAACTAATAAATATAATCATTAGGAGATATTTTTAAAAGTTTTACCAGTAAGTACTAAGTAGTAACATTTTATAAAAAATAATAAATACAAATATTACCTATACGTAGGTACTTTAAATATTACTTTATTACTCATGTCTCTATCGGGGAAAACTATTAGGTAGGTATGCATAATATTATATAAAATATTTCAAATTTTCGATAAGATAAACAAAAAAATTAAATTATTAAATAATAGTTATAAATTATAATGAATACAGACATGAGACAATGCAGTTAACTATTACACTACTTTCTCATATTGAGTTTAAAAAAACAGGAAATATTTATTTTGCCACTTTAGTACCTACTTAATACTATATGTGAATATGTGATTATACGTCTATATTGTACTAACTACTAATCTGGTATAGGTATAGTGCAAAGTTCTTTAAATCTTATTTTCCGCCATCCTTGTTTGTACGAGCTATAACATAACTTGATAAATGATAATATTTAATATAATAAAGGTATAACAAATAGCATTGATTAAGATAGATTTGATTTAATATCAATAAAGTAATATCTGTTGGGACAAAAAGTGTAAAAATTTAATACAAGGCTCCTGATATATTGTTACAATATCAGTTGAAAAATATTAAAAATACATAGGCACAATTTTTTTTTTATAAGCATTTAAACATCGAATTTTGACAGAATTTTTCAAAATCTCGAAATTTATTAATCATCGTAATTAATAAATTATAAAATGTTCAGTTTTTATAGCTAAGGATTGAAAATTTAAAACAAGATTCCACGTAAGTAGTTAATTCTCTTACCGAAAAATCTAAAAAATACACAATCACAGTTTATTTTTATAGTCATTTTATGTTTAAATTTGGACGAAATTACATATTAAAAAACCTAGTTATTTTGTTGTGATTATATAATATTATTCGTGGGTACCTACTTGAAACTTCTAAAGTGTACTATTATATATCTATGATAGTATCAGGGTTTGTTATTGATGTTGATGTATAACGTGTTATAAGTACCTAATGGATATTGTGATAATGTGATATGATTAATTTGGAATTTATTATAGGTCAATTTTTTGTTTAATACCATAGATATGTATATAATTTGTCTTAAGCCTAGACTGACATACCATCTTCCCTCAGAATCGTTTTTCTTATACAATGATATTGTATCTTTAAATTCAAATTTAATAGCATCCATTATACAGTGACCCACTTGT